GCGAAGCGTCGAAGGAGGCAATATGGCTGAAGAACTTCATCGGTGATCTTGGAGTTGTGCCGGCCATAAAGGAGCCCATGGAGATTTTCTGTGATAACGAAGGTGCGGTTGCCTTGACCAAGGAACCGAGGGATTATGGTAGATCTCGACATATCGACAGAAAATATCACTTCATTAGACATCGTGTAGAAGAAGGACAACTCGTAGTGAAGAGGATATCATCAGAAGATAACCCAGCAGATCCGCTTACGAAGGGACTGAGTAGGGTTAAGCACTTGCAGCATGCTAGGAGTATTGGGCTGAAGGATGATATTAGTATAGATTAGATAGTATTAGAAACGTATAATAGATAAATGTAATTAACATTTGATGATTAAATAAAGGAGTTTTATTTATGAGTAAAGTTACTGTCACATGTTAGTTGTTTAACTATTGTTTCACTTTGCATGTTTTGACTTCCAGAATAATTGAGTTTATTAGGAATAATCGAATTATTCAAATGGTCCACAATCGTTCATATGTTGGGAGTAGATATGAATGAAGATTGTCATGAATTGGTGTGTAGAATGTCTAAATGGTGTTAGACATGCAAGGGTTGCTGCAACGTTCATGAGTGCTTATGAACTGGTTTTGAGCATTGGAATAAACCCGCACTTGCTGGAATCACTTTATGGAATACGATATAAAAGGTGATCGCAAGACGATAATATCATATGGTCTTAAAACCTAGATATATGGTTTATTATTTGTTAATTGATTGTGCATTGATAATGCGAAAACGCATCAGTAACTTGATGTTATAAAACGCATTGTTGTGTATAGTTGGTTAATGAATAAGTAAATGCATATAAGTCGAAGTTTATCTGTAAATTTTATCCTAAGAGGATAGAAGAGATATCTTGGCCACTCGATGATTTGATTTGACTTATGTGCCGGGCCCGGTCAGAACTGAATTGATGTGTTCGATTAAGTTCTATGTCAAATAAATCGAGATCGAGAAATCTAAATGCTAGACTAACCATTCCATAGGATTGTCAGCATGATATCTAACAGAGGACTGTACGATCCCTTATCTAAAGGACAATTGATTAGATCAGAGTTGACAGCGTCTTTGAGAGCTACGATTGCAAACCGTATTTACTTGTATAGTTACTAGACTTATCCAAGTGGGAGACTGTTGGAATAGTGTCTAAGGCTATAACTTATATTCGGTGGTGCATGGTCCTTTTGGGTTGCCTTCACCATAGCAACTTGAAGGATGATTTATTAAGAGAGAGTAAATATTATAAGGAATAATATTTAGCTATTTGATTAATATAAGTCATAAATTAATTGGTATTAATTTGGTGACTTAAAGAGATTAATTAAATAAGAGGGTATAAACTGTCAATTGTTTGATAGTTAGACTTTAACTATAAATCCATTAGGATACACCTTGGACGGATTCTAAGAGCTTTAGGATAGCTCAAAATCGTCCATAGGTTATCTATGGAATGGATTTGGATAGCCTTAAGAGAAGATTATCCAATTAGGGTTTAGGGTGAAGCCCTTAAGGAGTCTAATAGTATAAATAGCCCCTATGGATGAGAGAATTCGACACACAACCTAAAGCAAGGAACCTCTGGTCTAATTCCTCCCCTCTCCTCTCTCCTAAATCATCTTGCTTGCTATTGGTGTTTGTAAGCCATTAGAGGAGTGACAATTGTGACTCTAGAAGCTCCAAGACAAACAAGATCAACAAGGGATTCAAAGGTATGATTCTAGATCTGTTTTAATATTGTTGTTTAACCTAATTAGCCATTAGAAGTCTTGGATTCAAAAGCATGTTTATTAGAAAGCCTAGATCCAAGCAATAGGGTTTTGCATGCGCACATAGGAAAGTTCTTATGGCTAAAACACAACAATATTGAGAACATCCTTCAATCTCTAAAGCTTTCAAACATTGTAGTCTGTCAAACTCCCTGCTCAAGGTTGGTTGTTCACCGGTCCAACCATAAATAATATTGGTGTACGTTTTAGGTTTATTTATGGTATAGCTTATATGCGGTACTAACCTTAATTGAGGTCTTTGACCTAAAGGGTAGAGTTGGTAGTTTTAGTTGGAGGCATGTTGGAATTTTATTAAGTGTTCTCATCGCGGGTTAGAGTATATATATATATATATATATATATATATATATATATATATATATATATATATATATATATATATATCTTATATGTTATTGTTGGTGGGGTTTGCAACATTATTAAATTTTATTTTTTACTCCAAGACTACCGGGTACATATGAGGGTTAGACATGAAACATCGTAAGGTATGACCATCTTAGCAATTAAGCCGTTCTGAAATCCAACAACCCAAACGACAACTTAAACCAGATTCCTCATGCCGTAAGTACCCAAGAACTAGCGTAATTATTAATAATAACACTTTAATTGGAAGCTAGTTAGAGGATTACAAGTTCTCTATAGCTTAATTAGCTTTGATACCAATCTGTCACACCCCCGGCCGAGTGCACGAAACACGTCGGGCTGTGCGACTAAGTTGTTCATAGATCACATGTAAACTGAATATACAACACAAGTACAACAATAAAAAAAAATAGAATTTACATTCCATCTTGATGTTTGAATACAAGGTTTGTACAAATAATAATAATACATGAATTGCCTTAACTGAATGACATATTATACAACAACAAGTAAACTAGGTCACCTATAATCCAATCCGTCTTGAATGTGTGTTTAGTGATTTCCTGAAAATACATGTAGTTTTGAGGGTCAACACAAGGTTGGTGAGTGTTCCCGGTTTTCTGGTAACCTCAATAGTACTTTTAAAAACTCCAAAAAGTATTATCTTTGTATGTATAACAATAGTTAAAAATAGTGTTTGCAATGAGTCTTTAAAAGCCCAAAATATATTTATGTATAAGTAAATTCGTACTTTAACTGTGTTTGTAATAAATCATTGAAAGAAAAAAATATATCTTTTGTATAAGTAAATCCATACTTTAAACTGTGTTTGTAATAAAAATATCCTTGAAAACCAAACTGTTATGTTTAGGGGTGTAAGCGAGCCGAGCTACTCGCGAGCTACTCGGGATCGACTCGCTAAAAGCTCGACTCGAGATCGAATTAAACGAGCCCAAGCCGAGCTCGAGCCCAAATATGAGGCTCGTTTATTAAACGAGCTCGAGCCGAGCTTCAGCTAGTGGGCTCGCGAGCCTAAAAGAGCCTAAACGAGCCTATATATATATATATGTGTGTGTGTGTGTGTGTATGTGTGTGTGTGTGAGAGTGTGTGTGTGTGTATATATATATATATATATATATATATATATATATATATATATAGGCTCGTATAAGCTCGCTTAGGCTCGCGAGCTCACTAAATTGTTCACGAGCCGAGCTCGAGCTTCATTTTAAGGCTCGAATCGAGCTCGAGCTTCTTCAAAATTAAACGAGCCGAGCTCGAGCTTGGTTAGGCTCGGGCTCAGCTCGGCTCGTTTACACCCCTAGTTATGTTAAATAAGTAATTCCATACTTAAAAATAGTTTTGAAAGCAACCAAGCCCATGGTTGTAGTGAGAGATATATATTCTAGTTAATTTTTTTTGGTGAGTCCTACAACCGAAATATGTGATTGAGTGTACTCCTTACAACGATTCATTGGACGTTGTAGTAAAAATTATAAACACCTATCACCCGCTTTGATTGATCGGTCGAGGGTTGTAGCTAGAAACGTCATGTGGGAATGTCAACCCTGTATAGATCTATACATATGTATCTCACTCCAAAGATGAACGATTATAGTAATGCTGTTATGCTAAGTATTTAAACTCAGCTAATAAATAATATCTCACTAAAAAACCATTTACTAAAAAGTTTGTGAATAAGCCCTAACTTAATTGCGATTAAGTCACTAGGTATAATGAATATCGTCATACAAAGTTTATAAAAGTCGAGTATGTTTGAAATATCTGTAAAACTGCAATGTGCTCGCTTTTATAAAAATGAATGTTTCAAATTAATAATAATATGTTTATGTGTAAACGTGGTGTACTTAAACTTATAAATAAACATGTTTAATAATAGCTTGAATCGTTGAAATACTATAAAGTTTCATAACGTAATTGTTATAATATGCAATGTCACATAAAAATCATATAATTTTGTATCGTTTGGTATTTGTTGTACAAAATGTTTATTTCATGATAAAATAACCATAATATGTATACAGAAACTTATACTAGTTTATTTGTAACAATATGGTAAATTGTTAGATAATAATATTTTTATAAAGCATTGTTTATTGTATTTTCGCATAAAAAATAATTGGTTTGTATAAACAAAATATATTGGCACATGTATTCTCCTCCTTCTCCCCCCCCCCCCCCCCCTCAGGTGAATAATTAAAAGAATAAAAGGGGGCCGTAAGTACACATTGTTAAGCGTGAGTTCCAATCGTTCGAATTCGGTTTCTTTGAAAAACTTGACGTGAAAAACCGCAAAGTCACATTTCTTGAACTTTGAAATATTTCTGGGACTGTTTCGTAACGAATTTAAACTGTTGGGGGTTGCTGGGTAAATTTAATTAACCACAATAGGACTGCTTTGGTTAAAAAATTTCAAGAGAGGGACTAAAATGGTTTTAATGGGTTTAATGTTTGAGTCTTGGGCTGGTATTGTTAACAAATCTCCATGGGAGGGGCTGTTTTGAATAAAATAAACCAAAGTTTGGGGAATAGACTCATTTTTGAAGAAATGGTTAAAGTGAGAGTGTATTTTGCTTATTCTACAAATATAAAATGATTTTAGAGCTTTTATAAAAAGAAATCCTATGGAGGGACCATTTGTGATTAGTGGCCCGAACTTAATCTAATTTAGGGTTTTAAGTCCCGTTTCTTTTATTTGATCGGGCAATGGATGAATTCGAACTTAATCTAATTTAGGGTTTTAAGTCCCGTTTCTTTTATTTGATCGGGCAATGGATGAATTCGTATGAACCCAAGGCAGCAAAGGAACGGAAGCGTCATTGCAGGTGGAGGAGAAAGCGAACACCAACTTCGATTTGGGGGGTTTCGATCCTTGGTTCCTTGCTCGTCGCAGGCCAAAAAGGGGACCGAGGGTGGTATCGGCGATTACAGATCGCGGGGAAGGACGAGTCTCCGTGTCGGCTAGAGCGAAGGAAGAAAAAGAATAAAGCAGCAAACTGCCGTACATTCTCGATGGGTGAAGCTGTGAGGAGGTGAGCGCCTCCGACGCTCGAATGGTCCGAAGAAAAGAGAAGGGACGAAGCAGCGTGGCTGCACTCCTTCTCCGATGATGAGGTTTGAAGGGGGAAAGGGAGGCGAGAAGGTTTCGTCGGTCTCGGTAGGTGCAGCGAGGGCTTCTCAAGCAGTTCCCGGCTGCTTCTCCTTCGAATCCGGTAGCACATGCGAAGGGGAGGAGGACATTTGGCCCGATGCAGCAATGCAAGCGGAAACAACAACTTCGGTGCGGGTTTTGGCAGTAGTGCTCGATAGAAAAGAAGAACGAAGCTGCCGTGGTCTTCGGTGGGTGTAGATGGGAGTTGTATGGCGGCAGTGGGTCGTCTGGGGCGGTGGCATTCGGCGTTTCCGACTGTTTTTTCGAGGTTTTTTTTCTCTCTCTCTCTCTCTTTTTTTTTTTTCCCTTGTTTTAGACAGAAATCAATGGGTTTTGGTGTGTGTTTGGCTTGATTTTCGACAGAAATCGATGGGTGTTTTGGTTGATTGAATTTGACAGAAAGAAAATGAAGCATAAAAAAAGAAGAATGTATTGCTGCTCTTGTTTGCAGGTGTACATGAGATCAAGAACAATGTGTTCTTGGCTGAAAAACAATGGTGTAGGCAGAAGGTTCGATCAAAGCTGGGTGTTTGTTTGATTTTATCAGTTTGTGGTTGAGTTTGAGTGTTCTTTTTAGCATTGTACAGCTTTTGTATGAGTGTAGATTTTGGTTGAAGAAATTAATCTTCAAATCAGTTTACTTGTTCCTTTTTGATGTGCAGAACAAGGAAGAAGAAGGCCGAAAACGTGATCTAATGACTTGTGCTTCATATGACAGCTCATATTTTCTTTGTGTGGATTGATTTTAAAAATAAATTTTGTTTCCTTTGTGTGTAATTTTGGTTTCATTGTACAAAGCAAATCTAAATCTTAGAATTAATATGGCCGGCACATTCTATTTATTTGTATTTAGTTGATTAAAGTGAGGTGTGTGTGTGTGTGTGTATATATATATATATATATATATATATATATATATATATATATATATATAAACTCATAAGTTAGGAATATAAATTATTAGTTTGTTAAGCTTTGATATATATCTAAGGTCAAATGGTATACATTGTAGGAGACGGTCCGTGGTCTAGGTGTCCACGAACCACAACCGTGCACACCACCCCGGTTGTTCGTGGTGGGTCGTGGTCGTGGTAGTGGCCTTCTGTGCTCCGGACAACGATTCCAAACGGTTATTTTTCAATTTCTTCAATGTTTACTTATAAATACTACCAATCATCTTCTTATTGTTCATACAATTCTACTCTATTTAGATATATTTTTGTTGTTTGATCCTTTAAAAATCATGCCTCCTAAAAATAAGAAATGGTCAGAAGAAGAATAAGGGAAATTAGCACAAGCTTCGGTGACAGTTTCGGAAGAAGATGTTGGTCAAACTTCCGGTTCTTTTTGGAGAAATGTTGAAAGTGTTTTCTATGACATCCCCATTTTCACGGCCAGAAAAGACCGATTTTGTTTATGCTTTATAAAAATCAGAGTTCTTCTTTTAATAAAAATGTTGTGGAATTTGTTACCAGAAAGACATGATAAATACGTTATTAAAACATTTTCGGAGAAACGTATTTTATTCATTTCAAAACGTTTGGGATGTCATCGTCAATACAGGAACATAATCATAAACAGAACTTACATTTATTTAAACTAGTGATCTACATCTCTTTAATCTCTCAGTGTAAAGTGACTTCGTATCAACACCTGTGATATAAATAAACTAAGTGGGTCAGGTTGGGAAACCTGGTGAGTACATAAGGTTCTCAACCCACAATAATATAATCATTATGTTTAAATAATCAAACAATCAACCCAATTACCCATCCCCATTATCTTCTTTATTCTTAAGGGTCTACCATAAGAATCAACTATTTCTCATTCATTCATTCCTAAGGATCATCCTAAGGAAACAACATGAAGTCCATTGTTGCCAATGACACTTTGGTCAAGCGCAGCTGCTAATCTTGTCACTTAGGTGCAACTGCCAGAATTGGGACATTTCCTATGAGGCGCTTCTGCCGGTATTGACCTTTTAACGCCACTGTCATGGTCATAAGGCTCCCTATTAGGTGCAGCTGCCGATACTGTCCTTAGAGCGCATCTTCTAGGACGTTTACCGTAGATCTAAAACATCTACGAGTTGTGGCGCAGCTGCCAGTGCCCATCTATAGGGTACTAGGTCCACTGCTGCCAATGTATACCTATAGGGCACTAGGTCCATGCTACTAATGTTCCTATATGTCAGCTTTTATCCCTCATCATTCATCTACCCATGTTCTACCCAACATATTTTGTAGATATAAACTACATATACAGTTGAAATCATTGAAAACATGTATAAAACGTTCATCTAGCATAGATAGCAAGTATTCAGATAATATGCACACATAGCACGTAATTTATATAAAATACTTCATATCTATGTGTAAGCTGAAAGTAACTATGCACTCACAACACGTAAATTATATAATAAATACTTCATATCTATGTGTAAGATGAAAGGGACCATGCACTCACCTGAAAGGTGGTGACTCAACACTCGGACATCGCTTCGATACTCTCAAAACAACTTTCCTTCGATAAAACCTAGTATCAACACCACTAGGGTTTAGTCTACCGATATTCGCGAAAAATTAATAGTCTGACTATTATTATTATTATTATTATATAAGCATTAAATAACACTCAATATAACTTATAATAATAGCCCAAATAATTATTTTCAGGTCCTAATAATGTTACTATAATTAATTAGAAGCTATATTAAAACTAGCGTAGACGTAGCTCACTTACAGCGGGTTTTTCGCAAAACCGGGCTTCGCTGGAGCAGCGTTTCCCGAGCCGAAAGGCTCTTTTCTCGGAGCCGTCGAGCGCTCCGGGGCTTCCGCCTCGTGCTAGGGAGTTAACCTAGGCTTTGGGGGGGTTAGGGAGGCTTAGAGAGAGAGAGAGAGAGAGAGAGTTTAGAGAGAGAAAGAAGGGGTTTGAAGGTGTGAAGAGAAGGCTAGACCCGACACCTCTATTTATAGTGCAAAAATCTGATGGACTCGCTGAGTCTGAGTCATGACTCGCTGAGTTGGTGCATGTGGCACCCTTCTGGTGGTGCCACGTGTCCAATTCTGGTGGTGCCACGTCACCCCTATCACGTATCAGCCTTCAAACTTAGAAAAATCATAACTTTCGCATACGAGCTCCGTTTTCGACGTTCTTTATTACCACGCATAGGTAAAATCAATATCTACAACTTTAGTTTAGACTCCGTCGGCTAATTCTCGACCGATCTCAAATTTAACAGTAGGAGGCGTTTAGACTGTTAAATGACCGTGAAGAATTCATAAGTCCTTCATACGGACTCCGTTTTCGTCTGTCTTTTTACCGTTGAGTTCCTATTAATGATATATTCAACTCTCATTTAGGTCGCGTAAGCCAAAAACCGCTCGAACTAAAATTCAAGTTTCGGGCTGTACACTGCTAAGCCGAATCTTAGAAAAATCATAACTTCCTCATACGAAGTCAGATTTGGGCGTTCTTTTTATCGACGCTCTTAGTTTAACATATTCTACGACTTTCGTTTAGATTTCTAAGGATAAATCTCGCTCTATCGTAAATTCACTATTTACGCTTCCCGGTACCGTGCCGGTTTTGCCGTAAAACTTCGACGGGCCATAACTTTTTCGTTATAACTCGGATCTAGGCGTTCTTTCTATGTACGGAAACCTTGTGACATATTCTACAACTTGGTTAAGATTATTTATTCTAAATAATCTTTTTTCGAAAAGTCATTTTCGACTTCTATTGCCTCTAAATTGACTAGCCCAGATCTGCGGGCGTTACATTTTCCATGGTTTAATGGGTGGTGCAATTCGAAATGTTGATAAAATATGCTTGAAGTGGTGTGATATGAGTGTCAAATGTAATGAGCTCAATGGAATTTACAACTTTGTTATAAACAACGTTCATGAAACCGATATCGATCCGGTTAATGTGGCCATGGAGCAATATGAAAGCACAAATCAGCAACGTATTAGACATGTTAAAGCTAGGAAAAAATTGAAGAATTCCTCAAACTGGAATAACCTTGCTTAAAATAACACAAATTAGAAGTTTGGTATTTTTAGTTTTTTAATTATTAATGTATTTTTTTATTGTTTTCTTTATTTTACTTAATGTAATTTTTAGTTTTAACGTAATTTTTTTCGGTTTTAGTTAACGTAGTTTTTAATTAATGTAATTTAGTATTTTAAATTAATAAAAATTAGTATTTAAAAAAACAATTATATGAATTTTTTAATTAAATTTAATTAAAATAATGAGATGGAGTGGTGTGTTGGTGGTAGGTATCCCATGTTAGTGGTAGGGAATGTGGTGCTGATGTGCCACCCACCACATATGTGGTATGTGGTGGGTATAACGGATGGTCTAACTAGGTGAAAACCCGTGGGACCCACCTCGCAAAATGAATAGAACAGATGAGGTCTGACTCTGAATCTCAGCTCTATACACGATACCAGATTCCATTAAATGACCAATTTCCATAAGACTCCAAAATTCCCACAAGGTCAAACTTGGTCAGAGGTCAAGGTCAACAATCCATGTTGATCCAACACGCCGTGTTCCATCGGCAACCAGACGGTCGGGAAAACCTCAGCCAACACGCCGGGTTGTCTTGCAAACACGATGTCTTTGCCCAAGTTCCAACAACTTAATACATTCAACTGTTTTCTTTGATTCCAAGAGCTCTAAAGCCCAGATCTAGTACAAAATGCTATTAAGAAGGATAAAGTTTCCGACTATATCCACTGGGACTACTCAAAGGGTCCAAAAAAACCAACCACAAAGCTTGAAGACTCAAGGGCTTAACCAATAATCACTTAATCTTTGAAGTTTGAAACCCATCTTTTCCAGAAGAGATTCCTGCACCAAAACCATCCCAAAGGTCGATGCTTTATAGACATGCATGTCTTGAACCCATATTAGGTCAAAATGGGGATTTATGACCTAATCTCTATACATGGCATCAAAAGTCAACTATAGGCCAAATCCAAGACTCTACTAGGTCACTTAGACCTGGAGATTCATAAAGTTGCAAACTTTATGAGATCTAACCATCCCAACTTTCAAGAATAAGAAGCTAAAGGGACAAAACTCAAGATCTAGCAACATGGATAAATAAAAATTGGATCGTGGACACTTACAAGGTCTAGAAGAGTGCCAACCTAAAAGATGAGGGCTTGTTTGGTTGATCCTTTCTT